CCCAAGCTCAGACTTCCGACTGCTCTCAGGGCTCGGGGTTACACAGTTTGACTTGCATGATGTCAAAGAGATCACATCAGTGCTGTTCAGGGGCCAATCAGAATACAAGTTGCCTTAAAAGAGGAGGAACTTTAGACAACAGATGAACTGAAGCTGGAGGACAACATAAATAATGATTATTCTGCACTGCCAGTCATGCAAAGCTACTCTAGATGAATCCAAAAATAAAAAGAGCTGCAAATGAGCATATCAGGTCCATTCCTTTCAAACCTCTGCAGCTCGTTAGCGTGATCTTTTCATTCTCCCTATTGTTTCAGCCTTCTGGATATAATTTACTCATCGGGGGAGTGGGGGATGTCATTCACATGGTGAATCTGACTGGGACGAGAAAATACTGAGGTGCTCATAATGTAGTCCAGAGAGGCTTTCTGGGAGCTACATCAGACTGCTATGAGATGAGGTTAATCAATTTTCATAAAACCAGAAAATCAGAAAGAAGGGGAACTTCAAACCTGGCAAAGTTTACAAGTTTCACTGCATATTCTCTCAGGATATGCTTTCAAAATGACATTGCAAAGGTCTGTATACAGAGCAGTTTACACAATATATATATATACACATTACATATTTATAAAGTAACCGTCAAATAGTTTATATTTAAGGCTGCCTGCTGGAAAAGTAAAGTTATCAAAAACAGTTACTGCAGTAGGAAATCTGCTTCATGTGCCAGTACTGCTTTTCTGGGGGTGGGGGTGTGCATCGTTATGTCCGAGCTGGCTGACTCATGCTGACCAGATGATCGTTAAATCTACGCAACATGTTACGAGAAACTCAAAACTGCTCACATCAAAACGAACGGGTCATCATCAAAACGCTCAGGTGGAAAAGAAAAGGTCAGTCGTGTGTGGATGAAAGAAGTTCGCCACTGGTCGGTCAGTACGCTACGTTAAGGCCAGCGGGAACTCATCAGAGTGGAGCTCCTCTGTAATGAGATCCCATTTTATACTAACAGTAGAGAAGAACATACACTACAACCAATATTTCTTTTTAAATAAGTATAATATAATGGTTGGATGACAGCGGAGCACCTAAATATTTCAACACTCGCAGCCTGGCTCACAGGTCTGCAGTCAGCAGTGTGCCCACATGTCCCAAAGACAGACGCACGGGGCTTCACAGTCAACACTGCACTGGGATCTGTCCAGGAGGGAGAGTAGGAGGAGGTTTCACCGACGGAGCCTCTTCCTACAGTTTATATTAATCTCCCAAAACGAGCTCACCACCACCATTTATGAGCTCTCCAGGGCATCCAGGACTTTCATGATCTGCTGCTTGATGACCTTCGTGGCATCGCCCGCATTGGGAATCAAATACCTGAGACAGAGAAACAGACATTAGCTGAAAGGGAAAACGTTAATAAATCGTAAAGCCACTACTTTAAAAATCATGTCTGATTAGTTTTTCATCCGTGTGCAGACGAGCACCTCTCAACCGCTGAAATCTCCACCCCAGCTGAATTGTTGGTGCCAAACTTGAACGTGATCAGCTCTGGGTGCTTCTTTTTGGATGTGATCTTCACCACTGAGTTCAGCGCTTGTCTGGACTGGATGTAAGCAAAGCCCTTCCTTGTGGCGATCTCCCTCAGGCAGTACATGTGAGTGGCTGTGATCAGCAAGTGACTGGAAACAAAAGAAGAATCAGTGTTAGGAGTTAATGTTTAATAAGTGGCCGCAGCGCTTGCTTGTTTATTCGTTTCTCATTGCACATCGAAGCCAAACTCGTCCACCCTTGACAGCCAGAGAAGGATGTCGAAAACTGTGCTCAAGAAGCCAAAAACATACTTTCACCTCAATGGGAAGCATCAAGATTTCAGTGAAGAAAATTAAATTATCAAGAAATGTTGGTCATTCACATTTTCTCCTCTTCTTGCAAAGACACTTTACTTTGAAAATCCTAAAAGTGCCCAGGACACTCGCAATGAGTTTCTTAATATTCAGTCGATTAATAGGGCTGTGCGATATGACCAAAATCTCATATCCCGATATAAGACATCTATCGTCCTGATAACGATATAAATCACAAAAATGTAACATTTTCTGTAAATTCTGTGAATCTCGGGCAGCTCGACTTGCGTGAAGTGTTTCCAGCTGCGCGTCGTGTAGCTGGAGTCGAGTGTTTTAACCGATGCATGAAACATTTTTAGACACAAGTTGTAAAGGCCGCCGTTTCCTGTATTTATTACACAGCGTGCTGCGGGGAAAAGCCTGTTCTAACGTTTGAGTCTAAGGTTTATTTTTTAGCACCTGGCGGCTCTTTTTTACTTCTCATATGTAAATAATCTGCTCTTTCACGTGATCGAGTTTATTTTGAAAAGTCTCAACAGGATCTTGAGCTTTATTGTGAAAGGCTTACGTGGAACATAAACAAGCGGTTACCGTCGTTGTTGCTTTTTTTTGTGTGTGTCCCGTTTGGATCTTTAGCCATCAGAATTGTTGTCTTAAGGCCAAGAAAGATGCCAAGCGGCCTTGCCATATTGGTCCATTTGATTGACCTTTATTATAATTATGAATTAATTTTATTTTCGGTTGCTACAAACGGGACATGTTAAATAAGTTTTACAACATTGAGACATGACTGGGGGATAGGACAGGGAAAAAGAATGAAAGAAAGAGAGGGAGAGAAAGAAAAACAGAGGGGAGAAGAGACGGTGAGAAAGGGGGAAGAAAGGAAGAAAAACAAACAAAACACCTGGATCACCTGTATGGAGGAAAAAAACAGAAGAGAAAGCAAACAAAAAAAGAGCAACATAATAAAAACAGCACCATCACAATAAACTAGCTAGCAGTAGATACTAAATATTAAACGATATTGTGCAGCACGCAAGATAGACAGCGCACAATGTGCTTTTACCGTCATTGTTGCTAACGACAACGCATAAAAACAGGCGCTTGTCCGTCAGCAGTGTGGTTATATTAAATATAAGAGAAAGAGAGAACTTTAATAGATTAATATAGCCACTACAGTGACCATCAAAACCATGAAAACATATTGCCGTAAACAGTTTATTTTGCGACACCACGAAACAAACGATAGCATAAAATGAAACGATAGATGTTTTTATATCGTCATCCGATATATATCGTTATATCGAACAGCCCTATCGATTAATGCTGTCAAATTTAGTCAAATGCTGCAAAACATGTGGGATGGTGCTTTATAGCGCAGATGGATAATGATCCAAAGCTTCCTGCAAAGCCAACCCAAGAGTTTCTGAAGGAAAGGAAATGGCCAAGTCAGTCACGTGATCTCTTTTCAGTTACGGAAAGCTGAAAGACCCATAAACAAGCAGCAAGTGAAGGCAGACGCAGTAAAGGCGTAGCAGAGGAAACACAGGATTTATTGAGGTTCATGGGTTCCAGACTTTATCCAACTATTAAAAACAAACCTTGTATTTAAACTTATGTTAGCTTGTTCAATTAATTTGGAGCCTCTGAAAATCAGGAACTATGTTCAGGAAGCAGTGAAGCACCTTACCATAGTATTTAAAGACTTCAACCTGCCCTTATTATGGCTGCCATGCAATATGCTTCAAGGTCACTGTACTCATTTAAAAAGTTTCCTAAACAAAGCTGACAGCTTACCTGGGGAACATGTGACCTGTTTCTTTCACCTCGTTACATGGAATATGATGTTTTACATCAGGTTTGTTTATCCAGGTCTGAATGTTGACGATCTCCTTCCGGTCATCATCAGATATGGAGGAACTGTCTATCTCATCTGGCAGGAAGATCAGATGGAAGTAATCATTTTGTTCTTCAAAATAAAAGCCCTCACAATGCTTAAATATTTCACAAAATAATACCCTCTTCTAATTGTAATCTGCATTTGCTGTAATGTTACCTGTATCGTACTCTTCTTCATCAGCAATACTGAACACAGGCTTCACTCCCCGGTAAGGTTTGCCGACGCGGTCGCTGCTGCTCACATGCCTGATTACAGAGGGCAACGAGGCAGGTCAGAGCATTATAGCCACACTAGATAATTATACATTAAGTGCATTAAACAGTTTGCACACAAACATCAATGACATGAAGACCTCCAGCCTGCAGTAAAAAAACATTAGCCCACTACTGCCACAGGTTGTGCTGTTAAATACAAAAAGAGGTTAAACGAGACATTTCTAGCTCGACATCTGGGTTACAGATTAGTGGTTGTATGATATTCAGGGCTTTTTAAAGCAAATTATAGTTTATTTGATGGTTTCGCATAGCCCTGACTATCATCTGAAAGAACTATAATGAAATGGAAAGACAGACTTTTCAGTGCATCTCCAAGCAAACAAAGGTGAAGCCAAAGGCCTCGGTGAGTTAGACTAGGAAACGACGACCTTGTGGATGTAAAGATGACTCAATGCTTCCTAAAAGGCTGGAGCAGCTCCGACAGTGCAGACAAAACAGCAGTTTTATGTTGTTAGTGAAAGCATGAAGAGAAACAGTATCTCATAGACAGCCTGCTGCCCGTACTGGATGGGAACGTGTGGTGTTGTTACATGAGTGTAGGCAGGTGTAGGCGGAGATGCTGATACTAAGCATGCGTTAAAAGTCTCCAAAATCCTGAGGAGTGGTGCGGGTCTACAGCCAGTGGGCATGCCAGTGATAAACATCTCAATGTTTGGGAGCTCTTACCGATCTGGAATCACCTTCTCTGGCCAGGGTAGATTGAAAGATATTCTATTATGGGATAAGGCACAAGGAACTTAATTTCATGACAGGAAATATGGAAAAGCAAATATGGTCTGCTTTAATGTTTTCAGTCAGCTGCAAATATGCACTAAACCCAAACTAGCAGGATGTCAAAAAACGGTAAATTTTAACTGTTCTGGCAGAATTTCATTTGAAGAGCGATCAGTTGGCTCTCAGAAGGCTCTCTGGTACTTTGGTGTTTTGGTTTTTAGTATTTGATGTGAGAAGAATCACAAATTTGATTTTTTTTCAGTGTTATAATATTAATTTGCATTGTTATTGTAGCAAACTGTATGATTTACAAAGAAAACTGAGAGTGTGTGTTGCAGTGTGAGCTTCAGTGGTTTGAGGAACTAGTTTCTCACCTGTCGACGGGGGCAGAGGTATTCTCAATGAAGCTGATCATCTTCTCCTTCACATTGACCGACTTGGACTTGAGAGCAAATGTCATTTTGTTGACCAGGGACTTCACACCTTTGCTGTCTCCAGGGCCGCTCAGAGACTCTCCCTGTATTCATGGAAAAATGGAACAATCCGTGCCATCAGACAGAAGATCTCTCTTAACACCTCCAGTGTGCAGCATATTGTGATGTTTATGTCCTTTATGATAAAGTGGGTTGGCTGGCTCCCCTAACTTCTTACATCAGCTGAGCTGAGGCTGCTGTGAGATCCAGATGTGCTGACGATCCAGTGGACGTACGAGGAGTCGAGCCCCTCGACGTTCATGTCTACCAGGTGCTTCTGAAGAGCTGGAAGTACACGTGTCTCTGTGAATTTTAGCTTTCACAATTTTCTGTACTGCAGTTGTGACCAAAAGACAGATATGTAAAAATGTGGATGTGTACAAGTTTCTCAGAAACATATCTATATATCTATATAGATCTCTCTCTCTCTCTCTATGTATATATATATACACATATACACATATATATATATATACATACACATATATACATATACATACATATATAAGTCAGCTGCAAATATGCACTAAACCCAAACTAG